ACAGAACACGGGGAATGGATTTAAACTGACAGTGGGTAGGTTTAGATGGGATTTTGGGAACTGGGAATTCCTGCCTGGCAGGGTGGGCAGCCCTGGCACAGGTGCCCAGAGCAGCTGTGGCTGCCCCTGGATCCCTGGCAGTGCCCAAGGCCAGGCTGGACACTGGGGCTGGAGCAGCTGGGACATGGGAGGGGTCCCTGCCATGGCAGGGGGGCACTGGGGGGGATTTGGGGTGGCACTGGGTGGGAATTGGGGTGGCACTGGGTGGATTTGGGGTGGCACTTGGGGGGATTTGGGGTGGCACTGGGGGGATCTGGGGTAGCCCTGGGTGGATTTGGGGTCCCTTCCCAGTGGGGCCATTCCACGGGCCGGGCTGAGCGCTGCGCGATGGATGCGGAGCGGAACCGGCACCGCGTCCCCGGCGGAACCGGGGGAGGCTCCAGGGGCGGATCGGGGTGTCGGGGGTGGATCCAGGGGAGGGTCCAGGGCGGATCCCGGGGCGGTCCCGGTACTGTGGGGACGTTCCGGGGGTGGATCCAGGGGAGGGTCCAGGGCGGATCCTGGGGCGGTCCCGGTTCCAGGGGCGGATCCCGGGGCGGTCCCGGTACCGTGGGGACGTTCCGGGGGTGGATCCAGGGGCGGTCCCGGTGCCGGGGCGGTGCCGGGGCGGATCCCGGGGTGGATCCCGGGGTGGATCCCGGGGTGGATCCCGGTTCGAGGAACGGTTCCCGGGGCGGTGCCGGGGCGGTGCCGGGGTGGTGCCGGTTCCAGGGGCGGTTCCAGGTGCGGTGCCGGTACCGGGGGGAGGATCCGGGTGCGGTGCCGGGGCGGTGCCGGTTCAAGGGTCGGTGCCGGTTTCGGGGGCGGTACCGGGGGCAGTGCCGGGGCGGTGTCGGTACCGGGGGCAGGATCCAAGGTTCGGTACCGGGGGCGGGTCCCGGGGCGGATCCCGAGGCGGTGCCGGTCCCGGGGGGCGGATCCCGGGGCGGTGCCGGTCCCGGGGGAAGGATCCCGGGGCGGTGCCGGTTCCAGGGGCGGTCCCGGGGCGGATCCCGGGGCGGTGCCGGTTCCAGGGGCGGTCCCGGGGCGGTGCCGGTGCCGCCATGGCCGCGGGGCCGGTGCGGGGCCGGCGTGCGGCGCTCGGGCCGGGGGCAGCCGGGGAGCCGGAATGCGTGAGTCGGGACCGGGAACGGGAACGGGAACGGGAACGGGAATCGGGAATCGGGAACGAGACCGGGAACGGGGACGGGGACGGGGACGGGACCGGGAACGGAAATCGGGAATCGGGAACGGGGACGGGAATCGGCAATGGGGAATGGGGACGGGGCCGGGGACGGGAACGGGACCGGGAACTGGACCGGGAACGGGGATGGGAATCGGGAATGGGGATGGGAATGAGGAATTGGGATGGGACCGGGACCCACCACGGGGCAGAGGCTCGGCCCGTTCCCGCTCCCGTTCCCGCTCCCATTCCCGCTCCCGCTCCCGTTCCCGGTCCCGGTCCCATTCCCGCTCCCGCTCCCGTTCCCATTCCCGGTCCGGTCCCGCTCCCGCTCCCATTCCCGCTCCCGGTCCCGCTCCCGTTCCCGCTCCCGTTCCCGCTCCCGTTCCCGTTCCCGCTCCCATTCCCGTTCCCGTTCCCGGTCCCATTCCCATTCCCGTTCCTGCTCCCGTTCCCTCTCCCGTTCCCGGTCCCGGTCCCGGTCCCGTTCCCGC